ATATGTGTGTGTGTGTGTGTGTGTTCATTTGAATCATTTGAACAGAATCGATGTTAATCCATAGTTCTGCTTCAGTGAGCTGCAGATTTGAGCCTGCAGGTCTATATTTACACCTGCACGGGTTTAACAGTCGCACTACAGCTCAGGATTATCAACAGCAACAGAGCTTCACAGTATAAAAGGTTCGAGCAACAGGACTTAACAGGTTTACTCCACCTTCAGTTCATTTAAGTTTACTATAGAAGACTGAGATTTAAATTATAGAGTAACATAGATTTATAAATAAATGGATACTGTAATTGACTAATAGTGTAACATTTAAAAGGCTTACTAATTTTCTTAGACGAAAAAATGTGTTTAATTTTCCTTATAGAGATGCAATATGTTTGCTAACCCTTAAGAAAAAGTAATACATTTGAAGTTTATTTTTGCAAGTGTACTTTAAGTTAAGTATAAGTATATCAAGTACACTACACACCATACTTGTAGTGTACTAGAAGTATACTGATTTAATACTTGTTTGGACTAAATTGGGACTTTTTTTAAAAACTATTTTTAAGTATATCAAATAAAGTTTATAAAAAGTAAACTTCAAGTACACTTCCTCATTTTTAGTGTAAAATAAGTATACCTGCAGTACACTTAAATACACTATTTTTTGCTAAGGGAACTCTTTAAAGGCTAAATTCAAACAAAGCCCAAACTTTAAGCTTAAATTTATGAAAATGAAATAATTAATGAAAATTTCTAATAGCACATTTATTTGCTTTATAGTTGGCAAATTGTTGCGTAAACTCAACATTTTTATGAAAATCTGGCCCATGTAGACTTGATTTGCCGTTGATAGTTTGGCCATTTCTAACTGTGGAGTTTGCATGTTCTCTCCGTGCATGTGTGGGTTTTCTCCTGGTACTCCAGTTTCCTCCCACAGACCAAAAACATGCATGTTAGGCTGATTGGTAACTCTAAATTGTCTCTAGGTGTGAGTGAGAGAGTGAATGGCTGTTTCTCTCTATGTGTCCCTGTGATGGACTGGAGACATGTCCAAGGTGTCCCCCACGTCTCACACAGAGACTGCTGGATATGGGCACCAGTGACCCCCACGACCCGAAAAGAAAGAAGCAGATTAAGATAAAAGATGAACGGATGGATCTTGTTGACCAGATAAAATTATATCATTGGACAAATTTTGCCTATGGGCCTTAAGTTTTGACACATGGCCCATAGGTTAAATAATTAAAATGTATCACTTACTTTTCAGAATCAGAATAAGCTTTATTATCGCTGAACCGAGATACAGCGAGAATATGTCCATACAGTCATCCGAAAGATGGGCGGAGTGCACGTAGCTGCTGCTCTTTAAGAGCATGGCCCTCTGATCCTTTTCAGAATACATTTTTTTACGATAGAAAAAGGAACAAAGACATGAGGAGAGGATAGTGGCATTACAGAAAAAGATCTCTTCACATCTTGTCCTAACAGGACACGATTTAAGACATAAAAAAGAAAACTCTACCAGCAAGCACATTTATGAACACGTTAACTTTGGATTTGACGACGACGCGGTCCATGATGCGCTAACAGATAGTCCATTGTCCTGATAAGATGATGGTCAGCTGGCACAGTTCTGATAAGCCTCCATAGAAGTGTGTTGGGGGGGGGGGGGGGGGGGTTGGCGGTTGCAATAGTTTAGTTTACACATTTCCCAGGAGAAGTTGATAGGTCGGCATGTTTTGAGGCCAACCGGGGAGTCAGATAAGTCACAATTGTTAATTCTTTCAGGCAGACTGTTTTTCTTCTCAGCCTTGAGTCTTTACTGATACTTCCAAGGTCCGTGATGGCCAGATTAGGGTGCCTTCTACTGGCCCGTGCTTATTCAAGTTCGTTTTCATGCTGACGAGTCCCAAAGCTGCAGGTGGCCTGCGATTCAAATCATTTCCATCTTACGGTTTAACTCATAAATCAGCTGATTTTGAGTCCTCAAAGCACGAACCAGACCTTCACATATCAGCAGCTTGACCAGGCTAGATTAGCTGCGGCCGTCTTCTTTGTATGTTGATAAACCAGGAACCAGACTATTACAAAAACAGGAAACCTGTTATCATAAATCCAATCGTATGCAATTTCAGTGTCCTCGATCGATAGCAGAGGTAGACACATCACATTCCACTTCCTCAGAGATACTGTATATGCAGCTGCACGTGCCGTCCGAGCAGATGAGGGTTCTCCAGGACCCTGTTGCTTTGTTGAAAACATTTTGTCATTTGCGTCGAAAGTCCAGTTGGTCAGATCCAAAACAGTAGTTTTCACTTTGAAAGATGTGTAAAAATAGGCGCTGCTCCGATACACAGACAGAGAGCAAACAAAGCAGGAAGAGAACTGGGAGAGGGAAGAGAACATGTGCGCCTCGGTCCAGAGCCAGTGAGGAAAAAACAAAAACAAAAAACTCTGTGCTAAGAGTTGAATATGAATCATGTTTCACTATTTATCTTTTGAAAAAAATATAAATAACAAAAAAAAAAGTGTTATTTTACACCAGCAATCAGTTCACTCTTTTTTTTACTGCAAACAAATAGAATGAGTGGAAACAAGCCTCCGTTACGAGCTTTAAATAATAACTACCAGCCTCTGCAACTTTTTACATTTCATTCAGCTGTTTAGTTTACCTGTTTATTTCTGTCCAGTGCCATGGGGAGATGGTGTTTATTTCCAGCAGTCATTGGGAGAAAGGTGTCTGGACAGGTCTCCAGTCCTTCACAGGGCCACATAGAAACAAATGAGACAGACGAACATTCATGCTCTCACTCTCACCTACAGACAATTTAGAGTTGCCAAGTTAACGTGCATGTTTTAGGTCTGTGGGAGGAAACCAGAAAACCTGGAGAAAACCCACACATGCACAGAGAGAACGTATTAGGTTTCTGTAATGTGCAAAAATAAAACACAAGACGCAGAGACTGATTTTATTTGATTCATATTTTACAAACAAATACAGCTGAAACAAGATTTAGAATATTTTAAACACGATACAACTAAAGACTTCACATTCTTGGAAGAGCCTGTGTTTTTAATAATCATATCTAGTGTAGATGTTTTAAATGTATCAGATATCAGCACCAACTCTCAAAGACACTGGACTGGACTCAGCTGTAAACAGTGGCACACCAAAACCAAAACTTGAAAACTTTGGCAACATCAGAGTTAAGGTGTTGGCAACTGACTTAGTGCAGTTTCTTATTTTAGAAGTAATATTACAGATTATGTGAAGTGCAGAGATTAGAACAGTCCAGTTTTAATGTGGTATGTTTACTGTACATACACATGAAATGCCATGAATTGTCCTTACATGAGTATTTTTGTCCTTTTCTCTACAACTGTTAAATGTACATCATTCATTTCAAAGAGTATACTGAAGAAAACTTTTACTATAAAAAAGCTCCTTCAAATTTAAAGCCACTACTTTGTAATTATTCTAAAACTTTAATTTGCTTATGCTTTTGTCAACAAAAATGGGGTATTTAAATGTCCAAAACTGGGAATAGAACAATAAGAAAAACAGTAATAAAAATCCATCCATCCATCCATTTTCTTTACCCGCTTATTCCATTTTGGGTCACGGGGATCGCTGGTGCCCATGTCCAGCAATCACTGTGCGAGGGGCGGGGTACACCCTGGACGGGTCGCAAGTCCATCACAGGGCCACATAGAGACAAACGAGACAAACAACCATTCACTCTCTCACTCACACCTAGGGACAATTTAGAGTTACCAATCAGCCTAACATGCATGTTTTTGGTATGTGGGAGGAAACCGGAGTACCCGGAGAAAACCCACGCATGCACGGAGAGAACATGCAAACTCCACCCAGAAAGGCCCCTGGACCGGGGTTTGAACCAAGGACCTGCTCACTGAGAGGCAGCAGCTCTACCAGTTGCGCCACCGTGCTGCCCAAGTAATAAAAATATTAAATATAAATAAAAAGCACAATCGTGAGCTACATTTTGCTGGAACATTAATCCAGACTATTCAATAATTTTCTTTTTTGGGCACCATTAGTTTCAGAAAATCACTAGCGCATTTTTATTATACAAATAATTTTATGAACATAACCGCCTGGGACCCTGCATGTTAATATTGACATTTAATTTTAGACCGGTTGTCTTTGCTAGGTGGAACTAGATTTGTGATTTTATTTTTCATTTATATACACATATTTATTTATATTTTTAACTCCTAATTTACTGAAAAGAAACCATGTTTGTTTTTATATCTATGAGCTTCAGTTGACCCTAAATAGCTAAAAGAAATAAAAAATGCACACTAAGCAAAAACTCAAGAGGATACAGCTATCTGGCCACCAAGAGGGGTCCAGATTATAAAACCAGCACCCACCACAGGCCCCCTCTTGGTGGCGCCCCTGTGCATACAGAGTGTGTGCTGTAAATAAGCACTTTGGCAATAGCTGCTGTTTTTAAATGTGCTTTTTAAATAAATTGGACTTGACTACTCAAATCCCAGTGAGACCACAGATCCCTCTTTCACTGGAGGCCTACTTGGACAAAACCCATGCGAACACGAGGAGAACATGCAAACGCCACACAGAAAGTCCATAGGCCCAAGCCAGCAGCACGTTGCTATGAGGTAACAGTGCTAATCACTAATCTATCGTGTCGCCAAATATAACAATAGAAAGCACTTAAGTGTTTGAATGGATGAGAAAGACTCCTGAGATCTTTGCAAACTCTGTGTGAGGTTTAAAAGGCTCTTTGTGTGTGAATCATGTGACAGAATAAAACAAAAACAACATAAAAGTTAAACTAAGGACTCAAAAATATATGAGCTTATTTGGCTGTTTTGAGCTTTTTTCAGACGCTGCAAAAAGGATGGCGTTACAGTTTGCATTGCTTTGATTGAAAAAGTATAAAACTTTGAGCAGGTTTGAGATGGATGCTCGTAATCTAATGAGCATGATCTAATTTTCTACTGTGTCCTTTAGGAGAGTGGATTTTAATTGTTCCTTCCAGGGTGTTTTGAAGAACCCCAACATTATAAATGGCTTTAATTCGTAGGTTTGATAAAGTGTCCAACGTTTTGAGACCATTTAAGACCCTGTCAGGTGGTACGGCAATAGTTAGACTGAAATGAAACACCATGCTGTACAAGTACAGCTCGTTTTGTGGTATGAAGAGTCTTCCTTCAGTCTTTTTCACATGACAGAGCAACACTGACATCTTTTGCATTTTCCCTTTTCTTTGACCTCCTCCTGAACTTTAACTTCTGCTTCATCTCCACCCAGAGGAGCCTCTTGACTGCTTTTGTTGTCCGTCTTTTTCTCCTCTCCTTGAGATAGTGGTGATAGAAGTGACTCGGATGTGTCAGGGGTTAATATAAACTCTTCTCCGTCTTCTGTAATAACAACGCGCTCTGCAGTGAGCATGCCTTCGTGGTTTTCCTGATCTGCAGTAGCATCAGTATAGCCCAGGAACAGAAGTGTGACCGGATCTTCCCCCAACCTTTCACCTACAATCTCATCCTCTGTTTCGGCAGAGTCTCTGACCACCATCATGGTTTTATCATCTGCGTTTCTGACAGATACGGCACACTTTTCTCTCTTTACACCACCTTCAGATTTGTCACTTCCAGAGCTGTCCAACTGTTTCTTTGGCATGGCATCACGGGGATTAAAAGCCAAAACGTTTTCCTCTGGATTTGTGCTGATGTGAACATTTTCCATCTTAACCTCTGCTTTGCTCGGTGTGACTGTAACCTCATTCAGCAGCACGTTCAGTCCAACTCCACTGACGACGCTCAGGATCTGGTCAAGCTCTTGGGCTGAGGGTTGATCCTCCAACCCGCTGACGGTGTGGATACTCTTCCTGCCATCGTCAAACACAGCAGTAGCCTTTGACACATCAGCTGATGAGGACATGGGGGCCACTGTCTTGACAGTGGTTGTCCCTGTCTTGGGGTCTTTTTCCACCTGCACTGCTACCAGCCCCATGACTGCAATGACAAAGTACAACTCATCTGAATTCTGGATGATATGATAAAATGATAGCCACATAAAAACTATTCTCCCCAGTTTAAGAGTCTAGAGTAGGCCACAGTTTGTCTTAACAAAAAAAAAGCTCTTTATACTGGGACAAAAGTCTTTGTACATTTAAAAGGTAAATGGACTATATTTACTGTAAACAGCACTTTTCTATCTAATCAAGATACTCAAAGCTCTTTACAATACAACCTGTGCCCTCATTTACCCATTCATACAGCACTCTACTAGATCTATACAAAGAATAATCAGTCCCATACACCGATGGGACACACATAGGAGGCAATGAGGGGTTCAGTGTCTTGCCCAGGGACACTTCAGCATGTGACTGCTGGTGGAATCGAACCCCCAACTCTTTCATTGGAGGATGACTGCTCTAACCACTCAGCCACAGCCGCCCCAATTAAAGATTACAGAGGCAAAGGTTAATTCCAGGTCACGATCGAGCTTCATGCAGTTAATGTGAACTGGCACAACAGAAAAAATAAGGGCACATGGAAATAAATTTAACAAGGTTTTTCTTCTTTTAAGCCCTCCAGTGGGCATAAAAATACTTAAATAAATAACTATTGTGCTATATATAACATTGCTCTCAGGCCGCTCACATTAACTCTGCCCAGAGGGCTGGACTTGGACAGAGCAACATTAAACAGTGAGGTGGCCAAAAATAGACTAATTCACATACTAGAAAAAACTAATTTTAGTATAGTTTCTATTTTTTAGCTTATTGTCCTTTCACTGTTTGAAACTTTGCTCAAACCATATGTACTTAGAGGTTCTGAAGGGAGCTGCCACTATGGAAAAAGTTCAATGTTAGTTATATATAGAGATCATTTATTTTTACTATGCCCTTCTGCAGGGTTTGTGACAGCAAGCAAACTCACATGAAAGATTTGGCAATGGTTTTACGCCGTGCCCTTCCTGACGTAACTTTTGTTTGAACCAGCAGCCTCAAGATTACCACGCAGCCACCACGGCCTCAATTAATTACTTATATCTAAAAAAATTAAGTCTGGTCCTCTGGACATTCAAAAAAACAAAACAAAGTGAAACAAATAAAAAAATTAAAAAATGAAGAGCGCTTTTTTTGGTTTGTTTGTTTTGCTTTGGTTTGTTTTTTGAATGTCCAGAGGACCAGACTTAACTTTTTTAGATTTTTCTACCTGGATTATTGAGCATGCATCAGGATATTAATTTCCTATAGTTACCTATATACAGGTGCTGGTCATAAAATTAGAATATCATTAAAACATCGATTTATTTCAGTAATTCCATTCAAAAAGTGAAACTTGTATATTATATTCATTCATTACACACAGACTGATATATTTCAAATGTTTATTTATTCTAATATTGATGATTATAACTGACAACTAATGAAAACCTTAAATTCAGTATCTCAGAAAATTAGAATATTACTTAAAACCAATAGAAAAATGATTTTTAGAAATGCTGGCCAACTGAAAAGTATGAACATGAAAAGTATGAACATGAAAAGTATGAACATGTACAGCACTCAGTACTTAGTTGTTGCTCCTTTTGCCTGGATTGCTGCAGTAATGCAGCGTGGCATGGAGTGGATCAGTCTGTGGCACTGCTCAGGTGTTATGAGAGCACAGGTTGCTCTGATCGTGGTTCAGACTGGGCTGAAGGATTACCATCAACACAATCCAAAGCACACAGTGAAGAACACACAGTGGTGGTTTATGGACAAAAGACCTTAGAGTTTCCCAACTAGGGACCAGACTTCAACCCTTTTGAACATCTCTGGAGGGACCTGGGGCGGCTGTGGCTGAGTGGCTAGAGCAGTCATCCTCAAATTGGAGCAGTTGGGGTTCGATTCCACCAACAGTCACATGCTGAAGTGTCCCTGGGCAAGACACTGAACCCAACATCTCCTTCGATGGGTGTCCCATTGGTGTATGAATGTGATCTAAAGCACTGATAGTAGAGTGCTGTATGAATGGGTAAACGAGGGCACAGTTTGTGTTGTAAAGTGCTTTGAGTATCTTGATAAGACAGAAAGGTACTATATAAGTGCAGTCCATTACCATTTACCTGGATATGGTCCCCATCCTACCTGACTGAGCTTAAGATGATTTATAAAGAAAAACAGAAGAAAATCCCCAAATCCAGAAGAGCAAAACTTGATGCATCAAACCCAGAAAGACGCAAGGCTGGAATTTGAGAACATTTACCTGATCGGCCATCTTGTCCATTATCTGCACGACGCATCCTCTGAGCCATTTGTGGACAACAGATTCACAGTTTTTGTTGGCTGAAAAAGGAAACAAAAAATCACTATAGCTCCTTGAAGTGTTTTCAGAGGATTGCTGTCAAAGATTACTGACCAGTCGACAGAAACAACTAAATGAAACCATAAAACAAGCTGAGGATTCTGCTCACCAACTTCACTAAAAAAGTGGGAGGACACGTGCAAAGTAGATTGCTGTAATGCTTTGTGGCCACTAGAGGTCAATGTCGACATGAAGTTTGAATGAACTGGTAAATAGAAGACGAAGAACAAACAGGCCAGTTTATTTTGAGGTTCCTCTGCTGTCACTATGGTTATAACCGTACAAACAGATGAAAAGCTGGTCTAATGTAGGTAGCTTGATAGTTATGTTGATTTATATTTCTGTCTAATTTTTCTTAGTCACATTGCATATTTCAAGTAATATTTCAAATACATATTTGTTTCACTTTATCTTTGATTATTGCACTTTGCCTCGAATGTCTGGTGCTCGTATAATGATCTTAGTAGGCTTGTATGTTTTTTTTCTTTGTTTTTTAGCAAAATGTCTCTTGAACCACTGGATCGATTTCACTGAAACGGTCAGAACACAATCATTAGTCTACAACAGATCACCTTTCAGAGTTGACCTGATTCAAAAAGGTCACCGCAGCTAAATGACTGCAGCAAACACTAAATAGTCTTAACTGTCTTTTTTCCAGGTATTGAGCTAAATTAATGTTGTAGCTTAAACTTAACACACACTCTGAGTGATATAACAGATCAGGTTAGTTTTCTTTAAAAGTTTGTTCATGCAAGGCAGTGGTCAGTGCCACTTTCCTTACAGCTTTCTTTACAAACTGGACTTTTGCTAAAACTGTGCGGATGCGTTCTCGTGTTGAAAAATGTTTGTGTACTGCAGAGAATGCCACATACAGGACAACTATGACTCCAATCTGTCACTTTGCTTTACATTAGTGCACTTCAGGTGATGCCTTAGCTATAGTAAATTATCTGCCTTTTTGACAGGCGTAATAAGTGGAGAGACAAATAAAGCTGATGGTAAGCTAACAGCTAGAGTGCTGACTCCTCACCTCATACAAACTCAACGGTTTGTGCCTGTGGACTAAAAAAAAAGACCAGATAAGGGCTCTCTGTGGTCAAACACTTCAAATCAGACATTAACTCTTCAAAATCCTGACCTCCTCTACACGCTCATGAGCTCAGATCAGTTCAGCCCACCACCAATGATTTACTGTCTCCAAAAAAGAAACAGAGCCGAGATTAGCCTCAGCATCAACAGGAGCTCCCGTTATTTGAGTCCAACAGATATTTCAGCCCTGCAGCTGGCTGCCAGCGAGAGACTGTGCTAAATGTGATGCTATCATGTCAGTGTTATATTTGTGATCATTTCCTTGATGTGTGAAAAAAAAATACACCTGATAAATTAAGCATAAGCTAGCTTTAGATTACTGATGAGAAATCTTGAATTGGATTCAAATTAAATTAAATTAAATTACTTTAGTTATTTATGTGTTTGGTCTTACCTAACAGTGGCTGTGTTGTGACTGCACAGAGAGCAGCTCATAGAGTCTGTGTGCTTTCTTCTTGAGAGACCTCGTTTCTGGGAACAGCAGCCTCTTTAGTCCAATCCCCGGGCGTCTTTTGACTTTTGCTTTGTTTCCTGACACACACACACACAAATGCAGCATATTGCCACAGACAAAATATGAGAATACAAAATGTAATTCTGAACAAATGATTCATAGTAGTGTACCACGGGGGGAAAGTCACATTGATTGTCTGTGTGTGTGTGTGTGTGTGTGTGTGTGTGTGTGTGTGTGTGTGTGT